AGGAGAGCAGGGCTTGGCTTCTCAGAGCAGTGCTTGGCAAGCACGGAGGCAGGAAACGCAGAAGGGAATGAGTCTGTCAGACTCATTTTCTTCTAGTTCAAATGTTTATTTCAGATTCGGGAGGAAGTGGAGTGGTTCCTTTCCATTTCCTCGTCTCTGGAACCTGCGAGTTGTATAAGGCTTAGAGAATCTTGCTCTATCACATTCACAGGTTCACGGATAGAGAAAGAGACACTTTTCAGAAAACCCTGGTTTGAACAGAGGAGAACTCATAGCTCTCTATGCCCTCCCACAACTGTCTCTTAATGGATTTTGACTGGAGCCTCGAGCAGGACAACGGAGAGCAATGTGGAGGAAAAAGCTGGTGGGCTCAGGAACACCCTTCTCCAGCTTCCAAGGAGGAAGGACCGTGTCCCAGCTAACATTAGTCCCCAGCCCTGCCACGGGCACACCTGAGGCCAGTACTACTCAGCAGCAAGGTCTCGCATGGTTTGTGAAGGCCAAGGTGAGACCTGTCCTGAGCCTACTTTCTAGGTTCCTGAGACTGTGTCTGACATCAGGATGGAGTTGCAGCAGCAAAACTCAAAATATACCTGTTTTAGCAATGAGCTGATTTCAACCTTGAACATGCTGACTTTTCCACATTGTGATTTCTCTCTCTCTTTTTTTAGAATGGAAACCTCTTTATCTCACTGCACTCACCAGCTTGGCTCTGCAACTTGGTTTATTGTCTATGCTGTTGACACAGGTCATTTTTTAATGCCAAATGTAGACCATCAGAACCCAAATTAGCAAGTCTTGTGGTGAGTTTACTACTAAACTCTAACAGATGTGCCTGACTCTAACTGTCGGCATTAGGACTGAAGCATAATTTTAGGTACAAATTACTTACTGGGAATATTTATAGACAAAAAAAATTCTTCAGTCAAGGAGACCCTAAGACATTTAATTCAGAGTATCCTGTAGTTTAGCAATTGATAGAGAAATAACATTGTAAATGCATTAATTATGGTTTGTTTAGGAAAGTTTCCAGGGCAGAGTGCTTGATCTAATCACATTCGTTTTGTCAAAGCACTTTAAAAGATAAAAATCTGACTCATTACCTCTACTCATAGTGTAGTTTTTTTGAGTTGCATTACCGTTCGGTAGCCACTAATCATGCTGACTAAGCTCTATGTATGCAAAATACATACCCTTAAGTACAACTACATTTACACTTAACACATGTATTTACATTCACACATCCAGTAGTACAAACTAGTTTTTATATTATATCTACCATGCTCCAGATGAACTCCTAAAATGAATTAGCCCTTCTATATGTTGGGATTCCCTCCTAAGATCCATTTATTATGATACACATGAGCTAACAGTATATTGAAGACTAATATGTCTTCATTAGATACAATCACAATACTCACTTTGGAAACCAAAAATAGTCAAAATGTAAATTGCATCACCATCTAATTTTTTAAAATCATCTCTACTGGTCACTAATTAAATAAGGCATACTTATTGTAAATACAGTAAAGTAACAAGTCTCTTTAATCAAGAAAAACCAGGATGAAGCGAGGAAGAAGAAAAGGAAAGATAAGGAAACATTGTAAAGGTCATAATGAGGCAAGCATTTCTACTTGAAGATATTTTCACTACACTATAAGCAAGCTATGCCAAGTCATGTACTTTTCACGCACAAAATTATATTGTATCAAATTTAAATTTGTTACAACTGCCATGCACATTAAACCAGTGATAACGAAAATGTAACTCAATATCTGATCTAGTGAAACAGCGACCAACATTAGCTCCCAGCCACATGAAGACAATCTCCAATGCCATTATTGGTGTCAGCTAAACCTCAGCCAGTCTGTCTTCTCTGGCCATTTTTAAATAAATATGTAACTATCTCAACTAGGAGATCTTGAAGAAAGCCTCCTGATGAGGTGATTTTGTTGCTCATTCTCCGTGCCCTGCATTTGCTGTACTTAAAATAGACACTTGTACCAATGTCCTTTCTATTACCCGAAGGGGAAAAAAAAAATCACATACACACCAGTCCTTTTTCTTTCAGCTCACAGAGAAGCAACTTGATCCAACCAGTGTTGAAACCTGAGTAGGTCACTGTACACCATGATAAAATTCCCTAATCCCTGAGCCAAATCTCCCTAAGGGGGGCCTCCTCCTGATCCTCTACTTCCCAGGCTGACTTTTCCATTCGCTCTCTCCTCTTTCCCCCTTTCATTTCCCCTACCTTCAAGCCTTGATATGTGATCCTCGGTGGGGGCTCAGGTTTCCGTTTTTACAGCTTAGGCCGTGCTAGCTGTATACATTCCTTTCTTTCTGCCGGGCAGTGATTACTTACCAGGGTTTAGTTTACACTGGTCCAGATGAAAGCCGTTCAGATGAAGGCAAACACAGCCAGGCAGCTCCAGCGGCACCGATATGAAGCTGCACAAGGCCACATTGTGTTCTCGGTGACATTTTGTTGCACATATTTTTATACAGGGCAACCAACTTGCTATGTTACTCTACACTTTAGGTTTGCGGACAAGGAGGAGTAATAATACGATGAGGCTTAAGGAGGGGTTTTATTCATGTGGTTATTAACATTAAAAGCAGAAAAAATAGTAATGAGTTCAAAATAACCTTTTCACTGTTTGACTCTGAGAAATTACTTTTCAAATGAGGACTCTGGGTACTCTTCTATTAGAGGAATACCTATAAAACAATTCCTCTAGAAATGGGAATTCATGCCTATTGGCATGGTGTGCACTGACATGACTGAAGATTTCCACCGGGATCTCTCATACATGGGTCCAAACCAGACAGAAAATACCAGTCCTACAGGAGACTGAATTATTTGCTGCGTGAAACTTCTTATTTAATGCTACTCTGCACAGAAACGATGAGGACTAAAACTTCAAATAGTAGGTGGTGATTTGGAAGAAAAATAACATTTTAAAAAGAGGAAATTCTGTGCACGAAGGTTAATACCATACTTAGTCCTGCAGCATTGGCTAAAGATTGTGTAATTTTTCCCCTTCACACAATGTTGTTTTTGTTTCTTCCTCACCAGTTCAGACAAACATCTGTTATACTGTAGAAGGACAACTATCTCCCAAACCACGGAGTGCGCCCGCAGCCAAAGTCAACAACTCGAGCCCCAAGCATTGAGCACAGTCAGCCTTTATATCCAGCCGGGATAACATTTCACATGTTTTGATTAAAATTAGCTAATTTGTAATTCTAGAACCTATGAAACTTAAAAGCTGCCATCCATATAGATCACATTAGGCAGTGTTTTAAAGGGCCAGTGCACACTGTGATTTCCTAGTGGCTTCGCTTCTCTCCTCTTCCTCCACCCCCCAATTTAAAATGAAATGGAAAAATAATCTGGAAATGCAAGACAGGAGGGAAGGGTAAGTGAGAAAGAATGGTTATTGTAGACTGTTTGAATTCCACCCCCATTGTAAGACAACAACTCCTACTGGTCTCTCTTTTTAAAAACTATCATTGAATTCAACGGTGGTTTCCAGCAGAAGGAATGGCATTGATTTCCAAGGCAAATCTTCCTTAACTCTCCTTGGACTGATTGATGCTGCCCCTCATGCTTTCAGGCACAAAGTTCCTCACCCAGAAATAAAAACTCTAATCTCCAAATTGAGATTGCTACAGACATTTTCCGGTGGAAAGGAAAGCTAAACATATGCACCTAGGTACTCATATAGCAAGTCTTATCCATGTGCTCCCTTCTGAACAGGGGCTTCCCAGAAGGCACCCTCGTAGAATATGCTTGTTCTAAGCAAGAAAGCATCAAAACGCGATAAATTTTATTTAGTTGCATGCCATTTTCATCCAGTCTCTCTTTTAAACACAAACTTCCCCAACCTGACCAAGTCAGTTGGCAGTGTTTAGAATTCTATGCAGAAGATGGGGAACACCAGGACGGCTGCAGAATGAAAACTAGAGTCCCCCTGAAAACTGCTACTTGTTTGTAATTCACAGAAAGAAAAAAATATGTATTTTTTGAAATCCAGAGAGACTCGTGAAATCAACACAGAATAAAACCCTCGCCAGGCAAAAGCTTCAACTTCATGGAAAAACTCCGATTTGATGGGGCGGGGGGGGGGGGGGTCCGGAGCTGAGCGGTGCTCTTGTGCAATCGCTCCAACGCGAACAGCTGGAGCGCCAGGCTGCTGCGCTCACCACCTCTGGAGCACCGCTGGCCTGGCGGGGAGCCCGGCCTCGCCGAAAGGACTCCGGGCTGGCCTTTCCGAACAATGGGCAGGCGCTCTGGAAGGCCGCCCCTCAGACAGTTCTCTCTCAGCCGGGCTAGCCCGGGTCTGCTCAACTGTGAAGTGCAGCACGCCAAGGCGAGAGGGAGGCGGAGGCAGCCGAGAGGAGCGGACAGGGGCGGGCGAGGCGAACCGGCAGTCAGAACGGTACCCAGCCCCATGCCGCTGGGGCCGCACTTGCCGGGGCACTGACAGCCTCTTCACACCATCGCAGCTGGCTAGTTGGGGGGAAGCGGGATCGAGGAGCGGGGAGATGAACTGGAGGGAAGGGTGGAATCGGGCGCTCCCGGGGTTCCTCGGCCTGGCAGCTCCTTAACTTTGGAGGCATCCGAGGAATGGTTCCCCAAGAAAGGGGGAAAAACTACACCGCCGACTAGGAAAGCCTCCTCACCATGTCCACCCGCCACTTGGGCCCCCGGTCCCCTCCCACTGAAACGCGCCTGTGCCAACCTGGGGTTTATGAGGTTAAACAGTATGTGGTTTCCCGGCCGCCCCCCCACCCCCATCAAATCGGAGGTAGGCAAATCTCGGGGATGCAGCCCGCGAGTTGGCCTCGGTTTTGCACCTGGAGCAGGAGCTGAGGCTTTCTGGGCATCCTACAGAAACTGACAAGCGCTCCCCGTGCCCCCCAAATCCCTACAACGGCCCAAAGGGAGCGGGAGGAAGAAAGAGCTCAGTCTCTCCAGCCCCGAAGTCCAAAAATACCTTCATTTCCTCGTTGATCTCTCTTTTCACTGGGTGAGCCGGTTTCCTGCTCCTTTTATTTTCCGGAGGTCTCCCTTCTTTCTCCATTTCTGCCATGTTTTTGTGTCTGGTTTCTGTGGAGATGAAATGGCTGCTGCCGCCGCCGGCGGTGGTGGTGGTGGTGGAGGTGGTGGTGGTGG